GTATAGGATAATAAATTCCCACGTGAATGGAGAGCAAAAAAATGGGTGGCTTTAACATCAAACGTGAAGATGGATAGTATTAGATGTTTAGTTCAGTCCAGTTGTATTAAGAGGAGGACAGGTGAGCACCTTTGAGTTCTCTGTTGTTGAAAACGTTGCTGTGAACTGCATCGATACAGAAGGAGTATTCAAAAAAAGTCATCTAACTAATTGCCGGCGCAAAACTGGCAGTTCAAGATATTAAACCTTCAGAACGCTTCCGTATTAGAGTAGGTTTAATACATATAATTGATCTGATCGCACAGAATAGCCTATCGCTGATGTATATATGCAATCCAACCAATTTCTTCTTGTGCTCATTCTTTTCTGTAATATACTTAGCAATTTGCCTGTCATGTTGACTGTTTTCCTTTTAGAGAGGAAGACAATACCGACAAGCACAACACAGAACAGGACAAATGAGATCCCTAGCTGATCGGTGAGCGGCCAGCCTCTAATTTTGCATTTTTGGATAGCTGGCAATCACAGAAAGTTTCTCCTCCATGGTTCATATGAGCAGAACGGTCAGAGTGCCACCAGTTGCCCGATGGGGTATCCGTCGGTGATTGGCAGGGAAATGACGACCCTCGCGTACGTGGATAACGCGCACAGGAGCTAATTGAGTTAGTGAAAAATCAAGCTGATGAAATTTTCACATCAGTTTTTTTGATTGCAATACGTGCTCACTAGCAATAGGTCAAGTGCTCCTGCGATTTATTTGTAGAAATTATCAAATCTTCGTATGTTTGTCTTCTTCGTCACAGTTATGATTTCGTATCTGAATATTCTTTTTAATTCCCAACCACCACCTACACTCTGAGGATGAAATATGCTGGTTTGTAGGAATGATAACAGTACGTGCTTGTGAATGATTCTGCTGTGTAATCGCAAAGGAAACTACCAAGTCGAGTTAGAAGGGTTGACTAAACGGTCTGTGGCATGCATATTACGGGCTGAGCTGATGAATTATTTCGAGACAGAGGCCACAGATTCATACGACATACGCGAGATGTTTTTTAACTCATACTGGCTTCTGCGCCTAGTCTCTTTTCCGATGGGCTCAAATCGGCAATTCAACTGCTTCACTGTGTGGGTTCGACGCATCCACGATTTGGTACTTTTCCTAAATTCAGCCCTTTTGGCGCGCTTTAACTTACAATACACTACTGTTTATACTTGTACAAGCTGCCAGATGACTATAAGACGGTAACTGTCTCCGATTATGGGTTCGAGAAAGCTTCCGAAGCGTCAGACTAATAAACAGCGTGTTCTAGCGGTTGCATCTACTTTTTTCCTCTAGACTTTATAGCCCATTCGTCCGACGCTTTGATGAAGGGATTGTAATTTGGATCTGCGAAAATTCTTAAAGATAAATTGGCGAGCACACCTTTGTTTTGGATCAATTCTCTCCAGGCATGTATATTTATATGATAATAAACTAGATGAACTATGCTGGTTGGTAGAGGAAAGTAGTCCGATTTTCAGGGGCGGTGAGGGAGAGGAATTGAGGTCAACAGGTTAGCGTCAGGGTCGACTGGCAGCTGGGACAGGTGATGAGCTGCGGGCGGTTTGATTAGCAACTTTTGGCCATGGTAACTGCGACGCCGTTGCTAAATTCTTTTGGGAGCACAGGACCGGTCTGCGCAACCTGATGGCAGCCGCTTCTGCTGCAGCCAACAGACGCTGTCCAAAGAATTTTGCATAGCTCGAGGGCCGTTTGTAGATTATGCGGAAAGCCTCTCTGACATCCATGCGATGGCCTGTCTCTACTTTTACCTTTTGAAATTTGTCTTGCATAAGACAAACTTTATAGCAACTTTATATAATGTGTAACTTCAGACCCTCTTTTAAGTCTAATGAATGTGCATTTAGCAAACATGTGGTGTATGGCGTCGTCACGCGATGGGTAAGGGTAAATTGAGTGAAGAAAGGCACATCACTCACCTGGTAATATACATGAGATAATGGATGAACAAACTCGATGAACAAACAGCACCATACACAAAAAGCTTTTTAATACATCCCAAAAATACATAAAAGGGCATGTGTCGAACAAAAATTCTTTTTATATATCCAAAATATATATTTATGAGTTCACCTGACAATTATTTTTACGAATGAAGGAGAATGTTTGCGTTCCAGGTATTTGCATGGTCGAGCACCGGATCGATTTCTTCATTATTCTAAGTCTTCCAACTTTCTGACCTTCTGATCGAAGCCTGGTCCACGGACGGAAATTCAGTCAACCGATGTGTCGAATGAGCGCCGGCGTACAGAGCCTTGCGCAATTACGTACAATCACAGCCAGACGTACTTCAAAATCAATTGGGACCACATCCTCTATAATTGTCCAATTATTTTTTCTGACGCCCTAATGAACGTTGAAATCACTGACGATTAATAAACGTATATCTCTATAATTGCCCACACCCTTTTTCCCCCATTTTACTGCGGTTTCTTACCCCCACGATCTAATGACCATAATGTTTGCTGTACACGCACTATAACTAGCCCCTCTTTTGTTGCTGTATCTTATCTCTGACGATTGACTCCTGTAGGAGTTCGAAAGCTCAGAATAATAAATAAATCGATATGGTGTTCAAACATCCTTCTTCCTTACCCAATTATATTTACATTTATTGGTTACAGTGAGAGCAATTTTTCCCCTTTTTTGAAGTTTGGACCTCGTTAAAAATGAAACTTCTAAACACACTGGATTTTTTGCCTTCTGTTAGTTTTAAATTCACTCAAGGTTTTGCTTATACGTTCGAGGTTTTCGTACATGCACCAATATCCGTTTGCGAGTTAGTATCAGTGTTTCCTAAATTCCGGCAGTCGGCATTACATAGACCACATAGTGTACAGCGAGAGCTTTGCACATGATTATTCAACTTCTGAAAACGGATAGCCGTAAGCACTACTTCGAATAACTATTCTTCTTGCGGATGCTTGAGACCTTTTGAGATCAATGCTAGTACCGCGGTCGTCAGTTTGCATTGTCCGGTACGTTTGTTGATGTGCGCTAGCATGGATGATTACGTCAACCGTTTTGAATTTTGTGCGCTGTTTGAATATGGCCTCCGTTCAACACCCTTGTTGAGCATTCTGTTTTAGTTGAAAGAGGAGACTATAGGAACATAGTATCTCCCCAGCTCAAATTACAAGACAAACTTTTGAAATCCATCAAGTAAAATTTACCTTAAGCTCCAGAATGTATTATTGCTATCATTGCTGTACACGAGGTAAGGCGTCGTATTAACAAATATGTAGACTGCTACACTTATCGACTAATTCATTTGTCAGAGCTCCTATGTTTAACGGACATGCAGAAACGTACGCGAGATCTGAGCTTTGTTTGTACGTTTTATCTTCTCATGAAGCCTATCGCGGTGGAAGCCCTGAGTAACCTGTGAAGCTCCCATTGAATTCCATCATAGATGTCATGCTCTAAGGGGATCTACATATTTGGAATTTTAAACTTTACTCTAAGTGGTTGTTTAATGAAAGACAACGTTTCCTGCAGAAGATGCTATTGGTTCACTTTTGTCAGGAGATCAGCAGCATTAGAGAGTGCAAGTTGACTTTGTTATTGACGTCATGTTATGCCGCCCCCACCAAAGCATCACACTCGGAGACTCGGAGGTGTTAGTGGTCGCTCAAACCTAACCGCCAGTGACAAAAATTAATACCTAATTGGTAGTCCAGCATCAAATCCTATGAGCAGATCCAACCATTGGTTTACGTAGGAGGATTTACGTAAAGCATTGACGTGGACGTGGTTTTTTACACGGGCTGTTCCCCCACTGTTAGAGAGGGCAAGAATATGCTTATAAGGGTTTTGATCTATCCATTCGGCATACCGAAGACCAGTTGCCATGCAGGCAATCGCGAAAGCAGAGAATGAGACTGACTCGGTCGTCTCTTTCAACGACACTGACAATGATCTGAATTTGGAGAATGAAAAAGAGAAAAAAGGTGGTTGTGTGGGCTGTCTGCGCGATAATCTCTTCATGATCGTCATCCTCCTTGGTGTGGTCGTGGGATTTGGTATCGGATTTGGTGTTAGACAGTTGAACCCCTCACCAGTGGCTATTACATGGATAGGTAAGCTTATTATATCTGGTTTTCCCCTTAGTACGTCCTTATACATGCAAAAAATCAATGTCAATAACTCGAATCTCATATGCATCTAAAATATTTTAATCTGCCTTCCCCTGACAGACAGTTTTTTTATTTTCAGTTGGCCTAAAAGACGATATTTATGCTAAAATCGGCGAACGACTAATGTTTTTTATAGCAATAATTATATATTTATTTTGGGGTTACGTATTTCCTGCACCAAATAACCATATAATGCTCTTTTGCGATGCAATAATGTTCAGTTTTCTACCTGAAAACACTACCACTAGCAGGTGTTCCAGAACACACATAAGCAGAGAATATGTTGGCTAGACTTGGCGAACAGCCTTTCAGAAGCCAATTAAATGCAGACGATATCCAGGTTTGTAACAATAATAACACATGCTAGTCATCTAGCATAAGATTCAAGTTGAAAGAAGGCAGTCATAAACATTAAATGGTTTCTCCTTGTTTACTTGCGTCGGGCTTTCAGATTGTCGGGCATACTGCTATTTTAACCTTGATTGTGGCTATATTTTTTAGCAATGCCAGGTGACCTGTACATCCGACTTCTTCAATTAACCATCCTACCACTGATCGCTTCCAATCTTATTGTCGGTAAGTTACATTGTTCAGGAAACTGTAATTTAATTTGCTTTATATCCGCTTATTATAGAAACTAAGTAGAGATCTATCCTTAAAAGAATTGAAAAGTGGTTATTAACACATCCGATTTCTCGCTTAAGTTATGTTTAAGCACACTTAACAACTTTCACCTAAAATATCAGTGAATGAATTGTTATATAGCAGTTATGTTAAGCTTCTTGATCGCTGTGCGTTTTATATCCAAGCGTTTTTGTTACTTGTCCATAAGAAATGCTCCTAACTACTAAATGCGCCACGTAGAAGCCTACGCAAATCTATTCGCTGTAGTTATGGCCTTATGAGAAGCAACAATTAAATTCAACTAACCTTGCTATCTTCTGCAGTCCACTGATTCTATAAAAAGATAAACTTTTGATAAGCACTAGTCCATCGTTTCTCTGAGCAACTCCAAATAAGGCTACAACTAGCAACAAATTTCATTCCAGGGCGATCCCAAGACCCGTGTCTTTATCATAACCTTAAGTACAAGCTCAATTCTTATCCTGACCCGAAATCTTCCCCTAATATAATCCTAATCCCTCAACCAAAACTTTGGATGAATGTGCAGGAACGCCTTTGCTCTGATCGCAATCAAACAAGAAGAATATGGTTGAGGGAGTGTCAGAATGATTGGGAAAAGTTTTGGATATTTCTGAATCACCTGTCTCCATAGATATAACAGTAGCTCCAAAGCTGTTCTATGTCAATACAGTAAATACACTAAAATCAAGGCTAACAGTTTAATCCGAGTAAACTAAGAAGACAACGCTTAATCGCCAACCAAACCTAAATTTGCTATAAACATGCATTTTTGGCATTCCGGCCGTAAAAATGTCAGCAAAATTTTCTCGAATTTTTGTCCATATTTAACGAGGTCCAAGTTCTAAGGGGATTCAAAGCCCCTGTGAGAAAGCGTTGCAATGTATTCACTCAACTATTTCTATAGCTTCTCAGATAAATGCAGAACTCTTTTAATCTGAAAAGCATCCGTTAAGCAAACAAAAAAACGTGTATCACAGTCAGCATCCTTTGGACGTTACAACTTTCTTCGAAAAGAGGGTAAAATATTATCTTTGAATGAGTCTAAACGCCCCTAAAACGATAAACCCTTTATTTCTATACGTCTTTCTTTTAGTTATTTCGTCATTGGATCCGAGGGAACAGGGTCTTAGCAGTCTGGTGACAGTGGCATACATCATCGGCTTCAATTTTGCCGGAGCTGCAATAGGCACCGCCTTCGCTACGTTAATTAAGCCAGGTTCTTTCCTTTTCTACTGAATACTTTCCACTTATTTAGATTTTTTTCCTAGACAAAATAAGTTGGATGCTTATACTTTAAAACCCGCATATAGTGTCATAAAACTGGGAGGGTTTGTTAAAAATAACTCAGACGTTTTTTGCAACACTACTCTAAGCTAAAATATAGGTTTTCGACTTATACAGATGAAACAGAGCGAGTTTTCTCACCCACCTACATGGTTGTGAGATGTTCCAGAATGTCACAGAATAAGTACTCACTGACTTAAGATGCCAGGTTTTGATTGAAAAACAATCGTTAATAAAAGTTTGGCAATCGCTCCTGGAACTTATTTTTCCCGCTCTACCTTGGGAAACACTCTGAAGCCTTGCCAGCTGCCACGTAGCCGCTACTAGTTTAGGAAATTGAGAATTTGCGCATGATATAAATATATTAACTTAGAGTTAATTCTGTTCTTTTATGTTCTATTCGTGGTTCTAATAAGGGGCAGTGTTGAAAATGGACCGCAACGAAGGCAGACGAAGATTTACTCATAGAGCACTTTTATCGGTCTGTGTTCAGTCAACTTGAGCAAATGAGTACCGCAGTAGATTCGTGTAGCATGCCCTAAACTTTGATCTCTTCACCATGCCAGTCACTGCGGCCAATCTCATGACCAGTTAGGCTAGATTTTTGGGCAGTTGGGTGGTGCATAGAAGCAGGATAACGAACTTTGTAATGATAATCAATCTGCCGGTACGAATGATTATCGTAATATAAGGACCGCGCTAAGTCATACGGTGGTTTTTCAGATAAAACTAATCAACGTACATTTAAAAGGTAAATCCAATTGGACGTTCAAAAGAATTGCAGGCGCTCTTATATACTTCTGACTCCGTTAATATACACCGAAGAATATAAAACATTCCACCGACATAAACCAGTATCTGCTCCGTCTGATAATGCGCTTATCTATTTAACTAAGAAAAAGACCATTTACAGATCACTATGCGTTGTTCCCTATGTGAAATATTGTGGTCTAACTGAAAATTCGTCGACATATTCATAAGAAATCAGGCAGCAGGCGAGAAAAAGCACCGATGTTAACTAGCAATTGAAATCCCAAATCTTGAACACACACTCTATTTATACTGGGCGGGCAATTTTGACGCTTGCTCGTGAACTAATTGCCACTAATTTCTGTGAGGCATGCACTCGATCAAACCACATACGAATCGAAATATTAATTTGGACGACGGGTACAGACAGGAGGTTTGGAAAGAGATAAAAGAGAAGCTTATTATTGAAAGTGGAATGATAGTGAAACGTGTATGTAAATTTAATGGCAACAGACTAAGCTCTGTTAAACTAGGTGGTACGTGAAATTATGATTTTTCTATGTATCAACAGGCATTGGCGTAAACATGACAAGACCGTCAACGCAGACCCAGGACCCAGGACTGACTCCTACAACATCGGATGTATTTGCTGACCTTCTTCTGTACGTTCTGCTTTACCACACGCAGTTTATTTATGGTTCGCTATCCGCAGGTTTTTCATATTTGTAGCATCTCGTCTTAACATATATAACAGGAAATATAAAAGGTCAACGAATAACGTACTAACGTTCCCCTTTTGCTTACACTCCTTTATGAATCAGGAACATGTTTCCAGACAACGTTGTTGGAATGACACTGTTCAGCGTACGTCAGATTACTCTAACAATCTTCACATTAACACACTTCTTGTGGCATGATGTTTTAAAAGATCTATTGAGTCTTCGGTTTTACCTTGCTTTCGTTAAATCCGTGTTCATAAACTGTATAATAAAGTTAAAGTTTAGGTTTAGTAAAAGTATCCTGTTTGCAAACTGCCCCAAAATGCATAACATTTTAGACAAAGACTGTGTATTTCTGGAGATATCCAAATCAATCAGAAAGATATTCTGAAAGAGTAAATGGAAATTCCACAGATCTGATTGGTAAGTAATTCATACATGTTCAGATTTATACCGTTCATAACTTAATTTGGGACCATCTTTCGATAACACTCCTTTTAGAAAGCTAGACTAAAATTCTTTAATTTTTTGGAAATAATAAACAGTTTCTCTGAACAGCCTAAGACTAAGGTAAAACCAAAAGACTACTAGATGCTTGAATAGAGGTGGAATTAAAAAAAAGGAAACTCTGGTCATCTAAAATGTGTTGAAATACACATTTTGTTCTGCTGATACAAAGAGAAATACGTGGCCATGACATTCTTACCGCAGCAATCGCATTTGTTTCTTACCTGGTTCGTATTTTATAATATTGAGGATTTGCGGGATGGTTCGGCAGTAGTTGACGCAGTGATGCACATTGGTTCTTCAATTTGCCGTATGGGTCGTTTAATCATGCTAGTTAACCGTAATTCGACATCGTCAAATGTTGTTAGTTAGCACAACTAAAAATAATTTAAACTAACCCAAATTTACGAAATAACAAACCACAAGTGCAATATAGTAGTAAATGCTGAATAACTTCACAGGAAAGCAGGCTTACTACAATGAACAAATAAGGTAGTAACGTATAGTAAACTACGGTACAATGATGCTTATACTGAATCCTAATTACACGTAGACGCCATGTTTGTCTACTCTCGTTTGGTTCCTCAGAAATAAAAAAATAAAAAAAACTGACCTGACGACATTGCCTGGAGAAAGTCTTTTATGAACACCTTATTAACCTAAAGGGCTTGAATTGGAGCAAGTTCCGCACATCGTATTTTAATATTTAAATGAAAATAGCGTCTGTTTAAAGTTAAAAGCCGTATGTGATATTTTTTTGGGAATTGGCTTAACTACCCTAAATTGAGCAATGCATTAAGATGATAAATAGGATTTGGTGGATTAGTACTCCGCAAAATATCTACTTTCTCCACCTGAAGCTTAATTTCGTCATAATTTACGGAAGAAATATAACAATTGTCAACATACCTCAGGTGTCCTCTTCACGTGCATTGCATTCGGCCTGGCAGCTAGGAAAGCTGGAGAGGCTGGGAAGCCCTTTTTGAACTTCTTTCGGTCCCTTTCTGACGTCGTTCTCAAACTCGTGAGAGTATTTTTGAAGTACGTTCAGTTTAGTATCATAGTTGGATTTAATGTCAGATGAATTGCCGTCTCTTTTCAAAACAGTCGCAGATACATAAAATTAATATACATATTAGTACGAAACATTCACAGACGACGTATAATCAGTACTGCTTTTGAATTTTTCCAGGTGCACACCAGTCGGAGTTGCTTTCATGATTGCTGCCGCAATACTTAATGTCAGTGACATTAAAGCAGCCTTTGCAGGATTAGGAATGTTTGTTCTTACGGTGACGGTGGCCCTCGGTGTCCTGTTCTTCCTGTGTATAATCTTGTATGGGGCAGTCGCCCTTCGAAATCCTTTTTGTCTTCTGCGCTTTATCACAAAATCCTGGTTCATCAGTTTTGCAACTACCAGCCCGTAAGCTAATGCAGAATAAAATACTTTATTTTAATTTCTGTTGCGTATCGGAAAGCAGATTATGGGGAGCAAAATGCTCGTTGTGCTACCAAATGAAACATTTTATCCATTTTAAAAACGGTTTTTCCTCAAAAAGGTCGATAAAATGCAATTAACACATTCGTGGAAAATTTATGTCAAGCAGTAATTGTGTGTTGCTCAGTTGTCACGCAAGGAAATATATGTAATTGTTAAGTGGGTCATGTTTCTTCCAAAACACATTTCTCAGAAAATCACGAGTGTTTCACTCGACGGTCACACCAAAATTTTTGTTTATTGTTAAAGCCTTCCTTTCTCTATCTTTCTTTCACTCTCCCTTTCTCTCTCTCTCCATACGCAAATTTTGCTTTCAACGAGCCAAGGCACATTGATTATGCTGACAGTTTAATTATGTGCTGAGCGCGGAGGGAAGTCCATGATAAGCTTGTGAAGAAATGATCCAGCATCCGCTGTTTATCAATATTTCGCAAGAGTCAGCCATATGCCTTAATAATGTATGCTGCAGATTGACAATTATCCAAACTAGCTCTGTTAAAATGTCCTCAATTAGCACACTAATCACTGTAGAAACATGCGAAGCCGTTGATACCTGAATAAAGAGTCTTGCAATGTAAAGGCTCCACTAACTTGCGTTTCACTTATAGCGTTCTTCCAACCCTAGAGGAGTTTCCATCTTACCACACATAATTTAAATTGTACGGTTACATGAAACATAGGTCGAGCTAGTTAAGAATGGCGGACACAGTTTTATCTTATTTGTTAAAAATCACAAAATCATGTTTATTTGGTTTGCCTGTTGCATTTAGGATCGTATCACTGGCAGAAATGTTTGACGGCTGTGATCAGTACGGTGTGGATCAATCCATATCAAGATTTGCTTGTCCACTCATGACGGCCCTCAAGGCGGATGGACCAGCGGTCTTTATTAGCAGTGCCGCCGTCTTTGTTGCCCAAACAGAATCAGCAGGCTCATCACCTGGTACTCTAGTTATCATCTGGTAAGTCCGCTTTTTCGATTTGTGGCATCGTTTAAAAACGTATTTGCCTAGCAATAATTGTGCCGCAGAGTTCGTATAAGTTATTTGGAATGGTTTAGAGCATATATTGGGTTCTTGGGTTGTTTATCTGCTGTCATTGAAGATCCGGCATGCTTTTTTGTGGTTTCTTACTGATCGACAACCGAATGCTGGCCAAACAGTGACACAGAAAGCTTAGAAGTTTTCTGGTAGAAGTAAACAGGCGAGTTTTAGAAGGGTTTTAAGAAGGAGAGACGATTATTGGTTTGTTGGTCTGGCGTTTTTGATTCTCACTTTAACTCAGCATCAGAGGCAGTCGCAGACGATAGTACTAGGGGTGCACCTTGTACTCCTAATAACGTAAATTTTGGTTACTCGCAAACTCCTTATACCTTGTAATTTTTTTACATGCCAAATCACAGCAAATAATACAAAGTTTAAAGGTCACTGTGCTTGTTACTTGAGTGTGAGCCACAGAACAAGGATTTAAATAGCTCATGGCTCACTCGGTAATCACCTTTTACTAGATTTTCGGACTTGTTAGACATGAAGGTGTGGACTGGTTCCGTTGAATGAGACTCAGTCTGAGAGTTATTGCCTTTCCTCTACACTTGTACTGTGTGTTCGGCCATTCCCAGTTTTTCCGACGAAGTTGCCTTGTCCAAAAACGAAGCAGGCCCGGTAAGCGACTCCAAACGTTTCCTGACGGTTCTGATGGTGGTTTCCTGTCGGTCTGCAACTCCGATTCCGAGTGCTGTTTAGGAATTTGCCAAAGTCAAGCATTTCCACCGTTGCAGCATAAACACATCCTGCCATTACCCCGCCAACACTTGCTCTGCCCTCTCACGCATTTCTGCCAGGTCATAGTCAATGGTTTTATTTTACTTGGAACCTTGACTTCTGTCGCTTTAGTGGTCTATGAGCTTGGCCAAGTGGTAGACTCTTTAAGTTCAAACAAAACTGTCTCACGCCTTAGTAATAAATCTCGAGCAGTCAACGAATCCTAAACGGAGCTCAAATGGCCCTTCTGATCCCCCGTGTCTTTTAATCGAACGCGTGAGGGAAAAGAGAACTACTTTTGGGGAAATGGATGACCTGCGTGATTCATTCCAGTATGATCTAAATCAGTTGACCCTCAACTAAATTATAAAACAGACAAATGGACTAAAGCGATATCCTTAGTAGAGAGGTATGCAAAAATGGAAAATAATAAACTAATATTTTCAAGGCAAAGAGCAGTTGCTGCAAAAATGCTCTTTCAGGTAGGTGGATCGTCCTACGCAAGCGTGTGTAACCGTAACCTCAAACTGCCAATGTATAAGAGGCACGCACGAGGCGGCCTTTCCAAAGGTTTTTATGAGTTATTCGCTAAAAGACAGTAAAAGATCCTGTTCTGCTTATGTTTATTCACATAAGCTCATACGGGAAGAGTAATTAAATTACTAAGGTAGTCGATTTCCCGTGTTTTAACGGAAATTCAGATAATCTATGAATAGACAGAGTGAAGAAATTGATTTATGGACAAGCCCTCAGAATATCAGAACTGTTTAACTGAATTTTCCATTAAGACGGCCATATTTAATAAAACTGTATTTTTAGGTCTCGCGCAATTTTGGCGTAACCTCTAAAATAAGAGAGAATAAAGGTTAAATGGCAGACAACGATCCTTCGTTTTTGTTTAGGCTAAATGAGATTTTTCTATCTTACAAGGATTTTGACAGCTGTATCCGCGCTGGCCATCCCGCATATTCCAAGTGCCAGCATAATCATCACAATGACCATCCTTTCTTCGGCTAATGTCCCAACTGCAAACACCGCTTACCTTTATGCGGTAGACTGGCTTTTGTAAGAAAAATTGTTCTTATTGTTCTCATTGTTACGGTTCAGGCCTATTTTGGATGAATATTAATGCTTTATTTAATAGCGTATTGTACTGAAGACAGATTACGCGCATTTTAGGATTTGTCTTGTCATCAAAACTTACAGCATGAACCAAAAGCCTAGGAATACAATCTACTCACGACTGTCGTGGGTAAAAATGGACAGCATTTTATCTGCGCACGTTGTTCTTAGTTACGCAATATGAGTAGTATATTATAGAGGGACAATGTTTAAGTCTTGGCACTTTTAGTTAAAACCTTTACAATAGGTGTAACAGCAAAATTCATTACCTGTGTAAATGGAGAAAAGTGAAGCTAAACCGAATTAGTTTTCAATGAGCGAAATGTACACAAGCTAAAACAAAAAAAAAATAACAATCAAAAAGTGGGAAAAGCCAAGAAAAACTTTAAACGGTCAAACTTAAAAACGAAGCTACCATGTATGGATTCTATTTTGCTGCATCTATTTTAAATAGAAACTTTAAATTGCATCAGCAGTTGGAAACTACTTGAAATGGTTGACCTTCCTGGCGTTGGCTCGTTTAATCTAGAAACCAAACATTATTTCTCTCCGCTTCCGATGTCATGAATTTGTTTTGTAAAAGTTAGTTGCAGTTGCTGTAAACTGTGAATGATTGACAGTGCAGACAACTGCAATGTATGGGGGTGCCCATAAGGCAATCCAAATCCACGCAAAATATCTGCGAAGCTTCGGTTGGTAATCTCATTTACTAGCAAACTCAATTACTGAACATCGTAATATCAGTGGAGGATTAATTACGGAGCATTTTCCTTTAAAGATCGGCCCTTATGTGTAATTCCATTTACTCACGCGAGACCTAGGCGTCGTAAAGAACTTTTCAGATTTTTTCCTAAAGTTCCATAGGGTTTCACGACACAGAGAGACTATGTCATGGCCAATTATCATCAATTCGTGTTAAGTTACACCCCTCAAAAAATAATCGTGTCTGAGCAGTGATAAAGAACTCGCAATTAGTTGAGTGCACAAGAACAGTGTCCTAACGGTGCAAATAGCCTGTTACTGTGCGTATGCCAGTATATATTTTTGGGGATTTTATACATTCGCCGACTAGTAGTATGGATGTAGCCAGTTATTTTTTAACTTGATAGATATGGACGAATAATGCACTACGCTAGTTACGTAATGAATGCATTTTTATCGCCATTTATAACAACATAGATGATGCAGTCACTATTACATGTTGACATACATTTCCTGTTTGCCAGATTATCTAATACGTGGGTATTCGGATGCTAATAAATTTTCGGTATTTTCAGTTTGTCGTGCGTTTGTGCAATATAAATAATATCTTTTAGTTGTCGACAAACAGGTAAATACTGGAGTTATCTAAAACACGTACACTCTAACTCCCGCCTAGTTCTAGTGTCTCACACTAACTTTCAGGAAGTGCAGAATTAGCGCTAAAGTAGGATTTGGTTAGGGTAAGCGTTGAGATTATGGTTACCGGTAAGATCTGGGCTAGTTTTCGGCTAAGGTGTAGTTCGTGTTGGGGTTAGTTTAAGAGATATGCTTCGATTATATTTATCCTTCTGGAAGTTTTTTATGGTCACTTCTATGACCGGAGGAGAAGTGCCTTTCCTATTCACTTGTCTTATCTTTCACTGATTCTGATTTTCCAACCTTGCTCTTGGTTTGTCCAGTTTGCGAAGGCATATATATAGAGTGTATCGACAGATTGTATAGCGAAGGTAACAATTACTACGCCAGCAGGGAAATTTATGTGTATAAATAAACCTTACTGCAGCCGATTCAGCGATTCAGCACGATTTAGATTTGCGTGACCTTCGAGGTATAGGCATACGTAACTTTTGAGCGAGTCAAAACGCGAAGTATACGTTTACGTAGTCATAAAATTCAACACGAAGGGAAAAGGAGCAGAACAAAAACGTGTGTCAAAAAAAATAATGGGATGTTATAAATATACTATTGTGTCTCCCGCAGCAGCAAGTGTGACAGGGAAAACATAAATGCCAATTTGATAACGTATTTTAAATATAGGAATGATTTTAGCATTATTATGTAGAGTCGTGCAATCAGCGAAGTTTATGCAATAGACAGTTGCAGGAAAGTCGATTTAAGAAGATGTTTTATCGCATTTATTGACGCATTTTGTCGATAAATTTTAAGTTAAACATAGAAGTTGTTTTTATGGTTCTGGACTTGAATGAATTATTAACTCAAAATTAGAATGGCAATTCCATCCAGAAAAGCATCTCGCAAAAGTAGACTTTTGGGCTTGGATAAGCGGTATAATAACCACAGTGTAATATGCCATTGTGCATTAAGGTATTGTCAAATTTATTTATATTTACTAGGTAACAAACGATGCTTGAGCGATGGTTTGAGTTGTTGGATTTTGCAAAAATTTCAGCCAGGTCTTATTGCGTTTTTATGCAAACTGTACTTGACATTTTTGAAGTGCATTCGAATGAGGTAATTGTGTTTTAGAGGAAATGCCTCTGCCGGAAATATTCGTATAACAAGTCAGAAAATCTTCTCTTTTCTTAAGTAATTAAAAAATCTAAATCGTGTTTTCTTCTTGCAAAGGGATCGCTTTCGTTCAGGTGCAGTGACAATCGGCGTCATGTATGGGGCTTCAATGGTCGACAGTATATCTAAGCGGCGGAAGAAGTCGAGGAAAGTGCTCGAAACCAACTCGATTTCGAGTATCAGTGTTGGTTGACTAATTAATAATCCTCGTTGCACTCTTTATTTTTAATTTCATCTAATCTCATTTTCTGTTAGCTAGAGGATCAGGATCTGTAAACATTCCTGTCATATTCACGTTAACCGGTTTGCACTATGCGAACCATTATTCCACTATTAGAAAATGGTCCGTTTGTGCATATTTTTAAATTTATTTCTGTACTATATACAATACAGAAACAAAACCTTTTATGTTTGCATAATTTTCACTTCTGACCAAAGGGGCAGTCTTTGAATTTCCATGCAAAAACTACAATAAACAGTGCTTTTAAGCTGGTGACATTGATCTGAACAGCATAAAAATATAAGCATAACACTTTAATGAAATTGAATATTGATTCCTGCACATGCAGCTAAAGGTTATGCTCATCCACCTGCTCTGTCGTCGTGGTTGTAGAGAGAAGAGCCGGCTCTTATAAGTGATTTGGTAAAGAATGTTCCAAAGTTGTCGACTAGTGCAAAAATCAGTCATCGATAATTTTGCCGAAAAACAACAGGGAAGATTGAGACCGCAACTGAGGATTAGGTTATAGTGAACGGTCCGGAATAAGCCAACTAAGTGGGCTAACGTTCCCTGATTCATTTTGACAGCAAGTAAAAGATACGGACTTTTAAGCTGCCCTAAGCCTGAGGATCAACACTTCACACAGACTGTCGGAGATCAATTAAAGAAAAGTCGACATCCGAGTTAATTATTTCTTTCAGTCGTCTTGTTTTTAATTTAGAGCAGCAGAAGCCTCGTTTACTTGAGAAATATATCTTACGGTGCTGCAGTAAGATTGTAAATATCTTTACTAGCACTAGTACCAGTATTGTCAATAAAGGCGACCATGTGAGTCCCAGGAAGTAATTAAGAAGAAGAAGATGCGATCATTGGAACAGGAGTTTTATTCGCCTGTTGTTTTGAAATCCGTCGCGGATTATACATCAGCGACATTAGAAGAAAAGTAGCAGAAAGTGGTACTACATGTACAAAGAGTTGCTGTATTTATAGGATGCAGTCCCTACCGTACACTTATGACAATTATCGACTCATCTAATGTAGGTAATTGCCCGCTTGTCCGCAAAATGTCTGAGGACGAAAGTGTGAGCCGTGAACTGCTGAACTTTCATAACAGGTAGTGGAAGTGGACATGCTGATTGCTCGGTCAGCTGGTTGCCTGATGTTAGCGTTAGACGACGCGGTGGCCTGTGCGCTCCCCAAATGGCGACTTGTTTTGGCCAAATTCAGTCTCAACACCGAATATGTACTGGGCAGTTCGTTGCAATCGTTTATAGACTCGTGACCCGTGAATCATAACCCAATTAATTCTAGACTCACACGATTGTCACCTCACGTAAAAATGTCGGCCTCATCGAATTTATATGTGTGGTTCAGTCTTGTCGAATGAGCCACAACTTAAGAATTGGCGTCATTTCGCCGCACGGCTGCCGCATGTTCGGCAATTCGCGTCCTAAGAAGTCCTTTCGTTTCTCCAGTGCAGTTGCTTTGTGCGCAACTGAGCCAAATCCGATACACGACTCCAATACCTCATTTTAAGCGAAAAACGTATGTTGGTATTTTGGTATGCATTTCATAGACAAACAACGGATAAAATGTTTTCGGTAACTGCGCACTGTACAAATGGGCTTAACAACATGCAAATACACCCTACGTAAAGTAAAATGCAAACTTAGCAACATTCTGTTATTTGACGTGCAAAGCGTCATTTTGTGCCTTTTAGCATGATTCATATGCTGATTAATAAGCGGTTATTTAAAATGCTTACCAGAGTCATAAAATGAAAAAAATAACAGTCCGAACTGCCCATTGTG